AAGGGTACAGAAGAAGTGCATGAGACCAAATCATCTCGCCATACCCTCAACACCGTCGCTGGTGGATTCCCTGGCGACGGAGAAACCAGCTCGATTAGGAAGAAATATGCCTGTGACATGATCAAAGGTCTCCCAGGTACTGGAAGAATGAGGATAAGAGGCTTCTGTAAATATTCTTTTATTTTATCAAAAGCCTTTTGGAAATTGCCATTACATCTAATAGCCTGATCTTTACGCAATAATTTTAATATCGGCTCACAAGTGGTTGTAATATGAGAGATAAACCTAGTTGTGTAGTTTAATCTCCCTAAGAAACCAAAAACTTATTTTTATGTTCTAGGCTCAGGCATATCTTGTATATCTTTTATTTTAGCAGGATCAACCTCAATACCTCGTTGACTTACTATAAAGCCCAAAAGCTTTCCCGACCTCACCACAAAGGTGCACTTATTCAGATTCAACCTCAATCTGAACTTTCTCAACCTTGCAAACAACTTTTGAAGGTGAACCGAATGCTCTTCCTCAGTCTGGGACTTTGCAATCATATCATCAACATACACTTCAATTTCTTTATGAATCATATCATGATAGAGAGTCACCATAGCACGCTGATACGTTGCCCCTGCATTTTTCAAATCAAAGGGCATCACCTTATAGCAAAAAGTTCCTCATGGATAATGAATGTTATTTTCTCCATGTCTTATGGGGCCATCTTGATTTAGTTATACCCAGAGAAGCCATCCATGAAGAAAAACACTGAGGATTGAGTTGTATTGTCATTCTTCTTTAGCCATCTACCTTAGACCATATTGTTTAGTAATCAAAATGAAAGTGGACGCGCGATAAAATAAATCTTTCAAGATAAGTCTCAAACGCTTGATCAACATCAAGTTGCTTTTCTACTTCCTTTCACACTCAAGCCAAATTCTCAAGAAATTCAATAAACCTTGGTCAACACCAAGTGTTTTTCACTATCTTTTTCATAATAAAAAATATTCAAAACACATTAAATAATCGAATCTAGTTTGGTCTATAATGGAGGAATCAATAATAGTTTGTACGTACTTGTCCAAGTTGTTCTCTAAAGCATTTAGATGATGATTATTTTAAGCTTTTGTTTGAATGCTTGGATTCTATTAAAGACCCTTAAAACTTGGTTTATCTCACAATTTTCACAAAAAAGTATTTGGTGAGGAAGGAATGATTCACCACCTAAAATCAACTTCAACTCATTCAAACATTTTTGCCTTTTGACTTTTCAATTCAAACATTTTCAAAAACGAAAGACACTTTGTTCATTCTGCGATGATGCAAACAACGCTTCCACATTTGAAGATCAAACATTTTCCACTCAAATATGATGATGGCAAGAATTTGTGTCGATCCGGATTCAGTCACTGGTTCTTGAAGTGATGCAAATGTTCAATTATTCATGTTTCGGGCAGCAATATTTTTTGTTCAAATGCGATTGAATATCTCTCGCTATCCCGAACTACGAAACTCTGATTTCCTTATTGCATCGTAAGGATACGTAGGCAGAGGATTTCGAAATCTTGGCAAGCACAATAATTAAAAACCAAAAAATTCTTTCTTTCTTTTCTCCTCACATAATAATTAAAAGATTGCAAATAAATTTCACGCTAACATTCGATTACGAGACTAACTAAATGGATACCGTTGAGTACAACAAATGTGAAGGGTGCTAATACATTTTTCTTGTATAACCGACTTTCGAATCCTAATTTGGTTGCGATGACTATTTCTTTTCTTTCGTGGATTTTCTCGATATTTTCCCATCCTTTCATAAATAAATAAAATTCGATGACGATTCTATTATATTTTAAACGTACGAATCACTTAGGTATTTTTCTCACCGCAATCCACGTGTCAATATTACAATTTATATTGTCCTCGAGATTGTTTGTGCATTTCACTATTTTTTTTGTTCAGACATTTCACTACTTCTTTATCTAATAATTTTTCATAAAACACTCAAAGTTATAAGAACCCAGTTCATACAATAAATGCGTGAACCATTTATTGGCACGTCAATAAATTCAAAGTGTACAAATTCTTAGGCTAAGTGGTCCTCTAATGTGTAAGATACATTGTGTTTGGGACACTGATAGTAAATTCACCTACTCACCTTGCCTTTGCTTTAAATTTTCTTCAAAAGCCTACATCAGCAAAGCTGCAAACTTACCAAGCAAACACTTTCCAATGAAACTTAACCCTTCATTCTCATTCCATATATATGCAAACCAGAAAAAAGTGCACTATGCCCATTCCACTATAAAACCACATTACTCTCTCCTTAGAGGCTCTCAAAAACATTAGTTATGATTCCCAACAACTCACTCACCTAAAAACCAAATTTCATTAATATTTCAACTTTTAACCATGTAATAAATGACAAATAGTTCAAAAAACCAAGTTTAAATACCAACTTCAACAATTCTTAATCAGCTTTACTTCTTTTTGACTTAACTGTGACTAATTTCTACCAGAATTGTAGAGCATAAAAGGTAAATTCTCCCTTTTTCTCTACTAGACTCCAAAAACAAGTCAAATTTAAACTCTAACCACTTTCATACGGTGTGCACTAGTCTCACAGCTCATATCAACTAGATACTTTTGGTATTTCAAACCAATATTTATTCCATCACAAGCTCACAACTCAAGTCACACTACCGAGTTAGTTAATTAGTTAGTTACTACACATAATGATGAAAGGTGGACAAGGAAAGAAGCTCCTATGGACCAACATTCTGTGCATCCTTTTACTTCAATGCCTTGATCTCACAACTGGTGCTAAGGTTCCTGCAATCATAGTGTTTGGTGACTCGTCCGTGGATGCAGGAAACAACAACTTCATATCAACTGTTGCTCGGAGCAACTTCCAGCCGTATGGACGTGATTTCATGGGCGGGAAGCCAACGGGAAGATTCAGCAACGGAAGAATTGCAACTGATTTTTTATCAGAAGCATTTGGAATCAAACCATACATACCAGCTTACTTGGACACTAGCTATAACATCTCACAGTTTTCTACTGGTGTCACTTTTGCTTCTGCTGCTACGGGTTATGACAACGCCACTTCAGATGTCTTGGTATATACACATTTAATTCACTCTTACATGAATGTATTGCATCATTTTTTTTGTTGGTACAATATATTTTCATTATATGTGTTTGCAAAAGGACCATTATAACTGATTTTAAATTCTTGTTTCAGTCTGTTATACCATTATGGAAGCAATTGGAGTACTACAAAGAGTACCAAAAAAAGCTAGGTGCATATCTTGGTGAAAAAAAGGCGAAAGAGACTATTGCAAAATCAGTATACATAATAAGTCTAGGAACAAATGATTTTCTAGAGAATTACTACACAATTCCTGGTAGGGCGTCTCAATACACACCAAGAGAGTATCAAAATTTTCTAGCAGGAATAGCTGAAAATTTTGTTCATAAACTTTATGGTCTTGGTGCTAAGAAAATATCCTTAGGAGGTTTACCTCCAATGGGGTGCTTGCCTTTAGAGAGAACCACAAATTTTGTTGGTGGGAATGATTGTGTGTCCAATTACAATAATATTGCTTTGGAGTTCAATGATAAACTTAATAAGTTGACCACAAAACTGAAGAAGGGTCTTCCTGGGATCAGATTGGTGTTTTCGAATCCGTATGATATTTTGTTCAGTGTTGTTAAAAAGCCAGCACAATATGGTAAGTTCCTGATAATTTGTTATATTTTTTGTATCTAATATCCTTGTATAACTATCAACTGAGTTGATATAATAGGACTGTTATTTTTGTATGAATATTTGTGATATATGATCTTGACGTACTAGTTGAAATTTCGGGGTATGTTCATGTGAGCAGGGTTTCAAGTGACTTCGATGGCGTGTTGTGCTACTGGAATGTTTGAGATGGGATATGCATGCAGCAGGGCTAGTATTTTCAGTTGTATGGATGCTTCTAGATATGTATTTTGGGACTCATTCCATCCAACAGAGAAAACAAATGGCATTGTTGCAAACTACTTGATGAAGAATGCATTAGCTCAGTTTTTCCACTAGCTAGGGAATTAGTTTATGAGTTTTATGCATGTAATAATACATGGTGGCGATGTATGGTTTTTTTAAATGATTTTCTTCTGCTTTCTACATTAGAATTGTTTGAAATCTAGTATGTAACAAAATGCTCTTATTTAGCAACAATGGTTTGTATTATTAATTAGAAATAACTTCTACAGTTGTGTGCAGATAATAATCTAAAAAATAAAAAGTATAAACTCTGAAGAAAAGAAAATGGAATCACTGAATTAATAAAAAAATTCATCTAAAAACAAAAATAATTAATTCCACCAACACCTCCTCTGTTGATCATTGAGTTAAATAGAAAATTTTCCATTTAAAAACAAAATATAGCCAAATCTACATACACCTCTTCGAAAGTTATTATAATTGTTTTGCATCTTTAAAGGTGTTAAATTGTGCTTCTTTGAAAGATAATCTGATTAGAAGGAATATTGTATTGTTTCTACATATATTCATATTAAGAAACATTACAGCATTTACTTCATAGAAGTGTTTTTGTTCATCCTATTTACAAATCCATTTACAGCAGAAACAGAAAGTATCAAATTTGAAAGGATACAGAAGTTGAATTTTATACATACAAGGCAATAATTTTAGTCACTGTTTCTTTTTTCTTTCGTCACATTACAACTTTAAAATTTCTTTCAGATTTTAATTCTTTGCCTTTAAATTCTTACCAGAAATAAAATTACAAGTAGCAAATACAATGCCAATCTATCTTGACCTCTAACAATTGTTACTTGAAATGTGGCTAAATAAGATTTCACTTTGTAAAAATGTCAGTGGTTAAAATCTCATTGGATTCTAACTATGTGTGACATAGTATACAGTTAAATCTAAAACATATTTTTGGAAGAATGCTTATATGTTTCCAAATAGTACTTGTTTCAATCATGCCTGTCTAGGAAGCGTTTGTTTCTATAGCAGCATGAAGGAATTCATCGGGAGTTGCAGCTGGATCAAGGTCCCAACACTTGTCGGGCAAATTGCTTGCTTCCTCACCCTTCAACAACCACGAAGGCACTTGGTGCGAAAAACGCAGCATTTCTTTTCTTGGTATCCATCTAATGGCACTTTTGTCTGCATTCCTCTTGTACACGGTTTTGAATCCATCCAACTTAATAAGGGGGCTAACACAAAGACCAAGCTCCTCGGAATAATCATCCAACACCTCCACCATATCATACTGATGCCTTACCTCATTTGATGTCAAATGATTCCAATCTGTAGACCAGTTTCTGTAAACAGCCCAAATTTCTCCGCATTTAGGATATATGCGAACACAGCCGCCTCGACCGGCCTTCACCCTGCTTAGAACATGAGAAAAAATGTTAACTTGGTCAACAACATCAGAGGTCATGGCCCTGAAATTTCCACAGGATTTAGTGAAACCTGAAACAAGCCAGTTTACTGAGCCAAACTCACTATCAGTTTTCGAACTCAAGTAACTTATGTTAATCTTAAATGGATTGACAGAGACAACCTCGCGGATCAGACAATACAAGCGGGGCATTCCGTCCTCCTCATCATACAAGGCCCATATTTGCTTTGGTTTGAAGCATGGCTCTGACCTATCTTTATCGAAATCATGAAAGTCAGAATCTGGGACAGTAATTGTCACTGGAACAGTTTTCCTAAGTTCCAACTGGTTATCAGAAACATTAACAGCTGCTTTAATGTATGCACCTCCTTTGACCTGACCAACATCAGCTTGAGACTTTTTTCTCTCATTAACAGCAGCTGCAGCTTCAGATGCCAACTTCATCTCTTCCAGTTTTTTCCTTATTTCTGTCCTGGCCTTCTCGATTAATAATTTTCTTGCATCAAAACCTGGTGCCATGGAATACTGTTTGGTTGGAACTTCATTTGTACTGGAAAGCTTCTGGCAATGCCCAACGCTTCCATTCCCATTAGCCAATGTTGACTCTGAAGCACATTTTGAACCCTTTCCTTCATGGCCAATTCTTAAACTGGCTGCAAGAACTTTCCTTTTCTTCTCAGGTCTACTCGGCTTAACCTCTTGCGGTTCATTCTGGGAGAATGATACAACTGAATTTATATTAACCAATGTCTCTGTCATGCAATGCTTCATATCAGCTTCTGATTTAACTTTTGGTCTTCCCCGCTTTACATTCCCATTGGCCTGACAAGTAGGTGACGTAGATGATCCATTTTGATTGACGTATCCAGCAGAGTTCAATTGATAAGGAACATTAGAAACATACCCGTGTCCCAAATGGTGTCCGGTAACCCCATTTCCGTTGAAATAGGTGCCATTACTGGGAGCATATGCAACTCCCTCATACGAATGGCTTCCATAACCACTGCTAGACGCATACGACCAAGGACAATAAGGGAATGACCCATTTGCCGGGGCTGTTTCGACAGCAATAAAAATCCCACGGCAATTTTTACAAGAAAGTTTCTTATTTATATACTTGCGCAGATACTCATACTGAACCTTGCAAGAAGTACAAATTGTCCAAAAAGTCTCCTGATTACCACCAGAGGCACGAGCAGTCGACAAACCATTGTGATTAAGTCCATGCCCAGCACCCAACTGCACATTCCTCTTCATATCATAACCACCAGACAGCCTGGCCCATGCCTCAGAAACAAGATGAAACGCCCCATCAGCTCCAACACACTTATTATTATCAGGATGAAGCAACTCCGCCATCTTCTTGTACTGTTTCTTCACAGCTTCTATATCCGTCGAAGGTTTTAACCCCATAATAGAATACCAATCTAGTTCACCATTACAACTAACTTGAGAGGCAATGTAAACTTCAAAAGTGGTCACCAACTGAGATATACCCTCCAATCCAGGACACAATGTTTTCGCTTTTAAGGCGTAACTTTTCGCTCCAACAAAATCTCTATGAGCAAACCTTTTCTCCGCATTCTCTATCGCTTTAAGCGCTTCTTTCTTTGCTTCCATCCAAACAAACTTCACAAAACCCTTGGAACTAAAACTAAAACCACCAAAACCCTTCAAACCTCATTTCATTTCCTGCTAACAAAATAGAACAAAAAACAAAAACAAGACAATAAATAACATAACTAACTTTAGTATATTCAAGACTCAATCTTTTTGCATATAACCTAAATTATACAAAATTCAATCATCAATATCCAATTCATAGATCAATAAAAAACAATCACTTCAAATACACAAACAAATTCAATAAAAAACAAAATAAGTATAAGGGAATTAGGGATCGATAATGTAAGAAACAAAACAAAAAAAACTAACTGAGATTTTGGAGCTAAAAATGGAAATTGAAGAAGATTCAGATCGCCACGTGTCGTTGAATAAGCTACAACAAAATTGAACTTCACACGGTGCGAAAACAAGCGGAGGAAGAAAGAACCATGGAGTCGGAATCGGGTTCGGGTTGGGGTTTGGAAATGGGTCCGATTTCTTCGATGAATACAAGTTTCTGACAGTGGCAGATGAGAATGGTAACAGTATAATCAATAATCAATAATAATATTATTAATCTACTTTTATTTATTTATTTATCATAAAATATAATCAACATGGTTACTGACAAATATTATAAAATATAATCTTTCTCACCTAATTTTTATTGTTATTTTTTTAGTTTTAGAATAATAGTTATTGCTGTTTTTGTTAATAAGTAAAACTTTGTCAAAAATGATTAATTAATTAATTATTCATTTAAAAGCTTCAAATACTATTTTTTTTATAATTAAAATTAGTTATTCTTAGTATTATTTTTTAAATTTATTTTTTATAAATAAATCAATCATTCACTTTCAAATTTATTATATAAATTTATTAAAAAATGTTTTATTTGAAAAGGTTCATTTTTTTCTTCTTTTAAATAATTTTTTTTTAAATTGTTAGATATGATTGTTTATAATTTTCATATATATTTTTAGATTTTACAAACAAATAATTATGTATATTTAGTTAAAAACTAAAATAAATAAAAAATTCTTGAACAATAGTTAAAATTTGTATTTTACCTTGACTTAGTTGTTTGTGCAATATACATATATTTTCTTATTGTTATTATCGTGTATAACAAGATGATAATATTTTCCATTCAAAAATAATAATAATTTATTATATAAGTTGGAATTGTTTGGGCTACATTAACAAGCAATATAGTAAAAATTAATTAATAAATAAACTAGTAAATTGCTTGTTTATAAAGTTTGATGTTTGAAATCTTTTTTCTTTTTTGGACAAAGATGTTTGAAATCTTTTAATTTTAAGAGTAAGTGTAAACGGAAGGAAATTTTAGATATAAAATAGAGAAAGAGAACTAAAGTTTAGAGTATAAGACATATTTATAGGATATAAATGCTAACAACATAATCAATATATATATTAAGAGAGTTGATCAACATTAATCTGCAGAAGTTTATTAAAAGATAAAGTAATGAACGTTTATAATGTACTATTCATATCAAATCTAGTGAAAAAAATCTAAAAAATCTATTAAAGGAAAAATATTATAATTTTTTTTTTAAGATTTAAGATATATTAATTTCTCCTCTTCAACTAAAAGATGATTTTTTTACAATAAAGATTAATTTTTTTATACTAGTTGATTAAAAGTTCTATGATTTTATGTAGTGATAAAAGTTATGTATAATTTGACGTAGTTGTTGTTATGGGTTATTTTTAGGGTTGTTTTTGGTCCGGACCGGTCCGGATATACAGGCTCTCGAGGAGTGGATCAGAATCCTAATCGGGTAAACTGAGACTGGACCATAACAGTGATGGTTTTTTTTGTCCGAAACTGGTCCGGTACATTTGTGTAACTCAAGACGGGACCAAATTTATATCACTTGCCTTATGATAACCGAGACCGATCCGATGATTTTCGGTCAAGTAATCGGACTAACCGAAATATAAGCAAAAAAATAAACTTTAGAATTTCAAACATTGTTTAATTCACAGTCAGAGTTTCCAAATTGTTTGAAAAACCAAATAACAGAGTTTTCAACATAATATTGTGAATAATTTTGATACTAAATTCATATTGTATCATTTCACATTGTATCATTGGACATTATATTGCAAAACCAATTCAAAAAACTTGTTAAAACATAAGTTATGAAATTTATGTTTGCAAAAAAGTACAAAATATCATTATATTATATTAATAATGCTTCAGAACAGTCTCATCATTGGCATTGCAAATACAAATCTTCAAGTTTCACCTATAGAAGAAGCGACACTCGGATATTCATCAAAATGATATGTCAAAGGGTCATCTTGTGGTTCCTCAAGCTACAAATGGAAATGTATTAGTGAGATATAATATTAAGCAATATACATATTAAATTAAGGAGACATGAAAAATTTACTTACAATACTAGCAGTGCAGTCCTTCTTAATCTCATACTTCTCCTTCACCCAATCACCTCCAAAAAGCACCATTTCAAATGTCTTAGTTTTCATAGATGATCGTTTCGGATCAATAACCCTTTTCTCAGCACTAAAAGTTGTTTCTGAAGGTGTGATGACACTACCTGTATAGGGTCCATTTTGAGATGCTTAGTGATCATAAGAGCTTGAAGTACCTCTTTGATCAAAAAGAGCTCAATATGCGCTAGAGAAGATAGGTGGAATATCTTAAGGATTATGACTTTGAATTGAAGTATCATCCGAGAAAATCCAACAAAGTAGCGGATGCATTGAGTAGAAAATAGATTCGAGTCGTAGAATTGATGGTGTTAGAATTTGATCTTTTGGAGAAATTCAGGAACCTTAATTTACAATTCGAATGGGTGCCAACAAGTGTTTTGATCAGTAATTTAAATGTTTAGAATGTATTGCGAGAAAGAATCTGCCAGGAGCAGTGCAATGATAGGGAAATACAATCTAAGGAAAGTCTTATGGATTTCCTTCGAGCATCTGATGGAGTCATTGTGTTCAAATAAAGGGTGTATGTACCCAATGATGTGGTGTTAAAAAGAATGATTCTGGATGAAGTTCACAAGAGTAAATTTACCATTCACCCCAGATCGACCAAAATGTACCAAGACTTGAAGAAACATTTTTGGTGGCCCTGCATGAAAGTAGACGTTGCGAATTATGTGGCACGGTGTGCTATTTGTCAACAAGTGAAAATAGTACACCAAAGGCCCGGTGGCATGTTACAACCATTGGATGTTACGATATAGAAATGGGATAACATATCCATGGATTTCATTATAGGTTTACCACGTACCTTGAGTGGACATGATTCCATATGGGTGATTATGGATCGGTTGATGAAGTCTGTGCATTTCTTGCCGGTTAAGACGACTCACAAGGTTCCTCACTTGGCAAGACTCTTTATAGCTGAGATTGTAAGATTGCATGGTGTACCGTCCCGTATTGTTTCGGATAGAGACCCGAAGTTTACTTTGCAATTTTGGAGAGCGTTCCACAGTGAGATGGGAACGAGTTTGAGTTTGAGTACCTCAAATCACCCGCAGACTGATAGGCAAATGGAAAGAACTATTCAGACAATTGAAGACATGTTGAGAGCATGTGTTCTTGAAAGTGGTGGAAATTGGAAGGATCGCTTGTCGTTGGTTGAATTTGTGTACAATAATAGCTATCACTCGAGTATCGGGATGGCGCCATATGAAGCCTTGTATGGAAGGAAGTGTCAATCGCCTTTGTGTTGGTCAGAAGTTGGTGAAAAAGGAATTATTGGACTAGAGATAATTCAAGAGACAATGGAGAAAATTAAAATGATCCAAGAGAAGATGAAGAAGGTGCAAGATCGCCAGAAGAGTTATGCAGATAAAAGAAGAAGACCATTAGAATTTGAAGAAGGTGATCATGTGTATTTGAAATTTGCACCGAGATTAAAGTTGAAAAGACCGTTTAAGAATTGGAAGCTTAGTCCGAGATGTGTGGGACCTTATCAGATCGTAGGAAGGGTAGGTGAGGTTGCATACCAGTTAGCGTTGCCTCCTTCACTATCCGGACTGCATGATGTATTTCATGTGTCCCAACTTCGGAAGTTCGTGCCAAATTCATGTCATCTTATTCTTCCTGATGTCATTGAAATAGAACCATATCTTTCCTATCAGCCACAACCAGTTCGTATTTTGGAGCATGCTGGTAAGTCCTTGAAGAACAAGGAGATACCGCTCGTGAAAGTGTTATGGGAAGAGTCTCTCCCGGAGTAAGCTACTTGGGAACTTGAATCGGAGATGCGAGCACTGTATCCTCACCTTTTCTGGTAATTTTTTCGAACTCGAGGGTGAATTCTAATTTTAGGGGGGGAGAATGTAATACCCGGTATTATAATTAGCTAATGACATTACTAACTTATGTTGAGTAATGTTTATTAGAAGACTAATGCATGATACATAATCCATATAGTTTTATGTTGGAATAAAAATATAAGAAGAAGGGGTGATGGAGGATATTATAGTTTATTCTCATTCAAATTAGAATTAGGAAGGATTTTGAAGTATTATTCAATTCTCATTTAGAAAACAAAACCAGAATTTGTGAAAGGGAGGAAGAGAAGGAAGAAAGATTTTCTTGCATGCACTTCAAATCATCCACCATCACCATTCTTGTTCTGAATTTCGCTGCTTCTTTTTCATCAATCTAAGGTGAGTCCAATAGATAGAAACTTGGAATTTTATGGGTTAACATGATTTTGGGATTAAGGGTTTGAAAGTGGAATTTAATAATGCATGTTGATTTTATGGATTAATAACATGTTCCTAATATGTATTTCGTGTTTGTATGTTGTGGGCACTTGAATGGGAGGGTGGAAATGGGGTTTAGAGGCCCCATGACAGAACTGAGAAGTTCTGTTTTTTTTCTATTTTGCACAAATCGCGCTTAGCGCACGGGGCCGCGCTTAGCGCGCCCTACTGGGAGTTGAAATTTTGAGAAATTACAAATCGTGCTTAGCGCGACGTTTCCGCTTAGCATGCCTTACTGAAGCTTGAAACATTGAATATTTTTCAGAGCGCGCTTAGCACGGGAGGCTCCGCTTAGCACGCCCTCCTGAACATAATTGAATTATTTTAAACCCCCTTGAGTACAATCCTGTATTATGGTAGGTATTCAGACGCCTCTTACCTAGTGATATATTATCCATCATGACATGAGTATATATGTATGAATATGTTGAATTTACATTATATGATAAAGTGTTATAACATGATTTGTCGTATGTGTTATGCAATATATGGTATTGTATGAGATAATTGTGATTGCTCGTCGTTCTGGTTGAACGTTTGGTGTTGCGTATTCATGAGATTTGATGTATGCTTGAATTAGAGTATGCCTGAATACTAGAACGTAAATCACTCATGATGTGGACCTTGTGTGTCCTTATACCGTTGCAATGTGCTCGTGTTAGTCCATGTGTGGTGTTTCCACTAGCAGAACACCGCATATGCGTGATCGGTGTGTCATAACACCTCAGCTACCATTGTGATGCGCTTCTGTGGGTTCATGTGCGACGTTCCACCAGCAGTTAATAACATTGTGTGCTTGGTACGGTAGGATTGTGATGCCACTCAGGCAATATCATAATGCGACTAAACTCACCTCTAATAGTGCCATATAAGTAAGACTATTAGGCATCGCCTAATGGGCTCGTGTTGTCGAAATGACGATTTGCACCGGCAGTTGATCATATGTGTTTGGATAACAGATGAGATGTGACATGTTATCAGCGAATTCACTCTTGGACTCATCACAAATGGAATTCGACTTAGGAATGATCCAGGTCATCATGCTATGAATGGGGCAAGTCTTCAATGCGATGCACGGGTTGAACTCATCGAGGGTGTGAAAGTGTAACCTGAGTAGGGGCAAGTAAACTTACTCCTGGATTTCTCATACATGGGTACAGGTTTGCGTACTTGGTTGCTTTTGATTATGTGTTTGTTTTTGCCTTATTGAGAAGTTATGGGACTTCCAATGGTGGTGTACCATTGTTGTCTACTTGTACCCAGCCGTGAGAGAAAACCCGGATTCACGATGAATCTGTTTTGATGCATGTACTCTGTAGAACCGAGTGACCCTTAAGATAGGGGGACTCACTGAGATTTAGTAATCTCACTCTATTCCAATTATTTATTTTCAGGTCCTTCGAGGCAGGATCGAGGCAAGGGTAAGATAGCTTAGGTCGTTGATGGCGCTTCATGGTGATGTCTCGTTTCTTTTGGGATTCCTTATTCTATGTTGTTGTACCCTAAAATTTGCCCTCCCATTTTTCATACAAGATACAATCCTAGGGTTTCTAGGATATTTAAGTTGGCTCAGAAATCGATCAGACAGATTCTCTTCCGAGGCAATAAATCAGCAATTAGGGTTTTGCATTTCTCAAAATAACATGAGTTTTCAAAGTTTCAAATGGTCTTTATGGTCCTTCATGTGTTATCAAGGATGTTTGGTCCAAGTTTCAAGCCTCGCATCGTGAGTTTGCTCATTCAATGGTTCAGGTGACTAAAAATCAATTGCAAAAGTCAGCCTTTTCAGTATCAAGTTCAAACGATTGTAACTTCTTCATTAATCGATATCCTTGAGCGATTTTGTTTGCATATGACTCTCCTTGATGTCATCTCCAATTTATCTTCACGAGTCAAGAGTTGATTATATGCGAAAGATCATCGGAAATTCGAATATTTTAGAGGTCACTTCCTGTTTCTGACCTAATTTCATATAATTGTGGTCTGCCTTTCGAGAGTTGTAATGTCCTCAATTTTTAAGATCTCGAGACGACTATTTTTGTACATTGTCATGAGCAATGTCATCAACAAGTCCTTTTTAAGAATCGAAGGAAATTGTATTTAAAAGACCTTGGAGATTATCAATTTGTCATAAGTCATTTTCTTTATTTAGAGTGTTTTCAACTTCTAATTGTTTTCTCAAAGGCCGCGATTCTTATGTTGAGACTATCCATAGAACAAGATGTTGAATTTGGAGATTCATATTGAGTTCGAAGAAGATGTTGCTTATAATACAATTTGCCATGTTGAAAATTGATTTATGATCTTGGTGAAGATTACTTGAGGATTCATTTGAATATTGTCTTGATTAGCAAAGAATTACACGATATCACAAGCTTTCTTCCAAATCTTTTACAATTGATTCACGTGGTTGGTTTTGAATTCAAGGTATCAGAGAACGAGTTCGCTAAAATTTTCTCAAATTCATTCGAACTTTGGAATGCAAACATGATTAAAGCTATGTTGTGATTCATGGTTTATCTAAGTCACAATTCTCATGAATCAAATCAAATTGTTAAACCTAATTTATTCAAGCGCGTCATTATTCAAATGCAAGACTTTTTTAAGCCGCTTTGGAATTCAAGACTATTCAAGTTTATTTAAGAATTCAAGACTGTTCAAGTTTATTCAAGAATTTAAGATTTACAACAAGGCGTCATTTTTATTTTAATATATTTCACAATTCTCCAAGTCTTAAAA